ACCATAGAAACAGAACTACAGAAAATGTTGGTACTAAACCAAAGGCATGCCGAAAATCAGTGGCTACTATTACATTTATTCTTAAAATTTAAAAAGGTAAAATAAATACAATAAATACTTCAAACAGTTACAACCTCTGCTGCTCTGCCACGGCACCATTGATGACTCTGGAAGACCTCGTACATTGAATGAATCAAAGATGAGTAGATTTATTTATTTGTTCCATGCCAGAAACTAGCTGTTTCACTGCAAAAATGTTCAGCGTGATTCTGAACTCGGATGACAAGCCGCACTCAAAAAATGCATAATATGGTTCCGAGCATACTCGAGTAAATGTTCAAATACGATAAACAACCTGAGCTCTTTGAAATCCATTACCAAATTTGTAAAGACGTTTTGAGACCGCCATGTCTTATTTGACCAATTGACACAGTCGAGCTCGGCCAGGATTAAGTAGTGATTCAGACATTACCCAACCCTGAAAAGAAGTATAACCCTTAGTATAAAGTGCAAGACCAATATCCTTTCAATGCAGCATCACTAAGAACATCGAGCATCCAGCAGAAAGAATAGTTTGAAGTGCGAAATTAATTAAGTCTAGGTAGGAGTGGATCACAGTCTGCAGTTAATGAATTCGGATAAACCCACATATAGCTTGCAATGGAAAGAACAGATACATGTCATCCCCCCAAGCAGGTTCACAACATTGTCGTAGGTTCCATTTCATCAATGTCATTGTTTCCAATATTAGACATAGCCATTACCAACTAATTGTGAGACAGCTAAACAAAGTCATATTAAGCTCGCTGTTGCAATTGCATTCCACATTTAAGTGGCTTTTCTAATCAACATATGCCATGCATAACCTTTCAGAAGCAAGCAGTCCCCTTACCCCCTTAATGACAGAACAATAATTTAAGTGAATAGATCTTAGGAAATGCAACCACCACATCCCTCAAATGACCAATTCATTAATCCAAGTGATATGATTCAGGCAGTTATGCCATCTTGTACCAGATTGACTTGGAGATTTCTCTCTAGCTTTGCACTGTGAAGAGTATGGAGGTAAAAGAAGAAGCCACTAACGATGCATATATGTCATGTTTTAGTGGTGAAGAGGGAAACCTTCTACTTGTTGCCTCAGTTACCGTACAGCACAACTACTGCACAACCCAACATATGGTGTACTCTAATTTTTGGTTTTAGCTATCTTGTTTTCATTTTTTCTAGTTCATGACTAAGAAAATTGAAAGGCATCACAAGAGAACAATGCAGGAAATGGAACAAGTCATATGATGAGATTGAACCAATAAATACCAATTTACCAGCAGTTTCAATAGAGTAATTCCAATATTTATTAGTGGGAAAGTAGATAGGTCAAGCTTCCCTCACCTGTTCCTTTGCTTTGTTCTTGAATGGCCCATATAAAGCTGACACCATCTTATAAGATTCTGCAATATGAGCTTGAATATCAGACGATGTTGGCACTAACATCGGAAGCTCATGC